CTAACTTAAATATGAAGGGTAAGTAGCATCGATTTAGGTAAACAAAATCTAGCTTCATTACTCAATCACATCTTCTTGCAAAATCATGAGCATCCTTAAAAAGAGTAGGCCAGAAGAAATCAGATTGAAGTACCTTTCTAGCTGTTCAGTTCCCTCCATGATGTCCCTCATCCAAAAAATTAAGATGCATGTCCAAATTCAATCCAAGTGCCGCTTCATTACCTATCACAAGACATTGCTCAATAGCATCATCAAAATTTTGACAAGTGAAAGTGTAAACATCATGCAATTCATTCATGGATTTTGAGTAGTCTAAATCATCATAAAATTTAGGGCACTTCATGCTATCCTTGATTGAAAATGTGACATCCCCATCTCCCACATCTAAAGTTAATTTTCCGTTTTGAACATCTATAAAAGATTTAGCAGTTTCTAGGAAAGGCCTTCCTAAGATAAGCGGAGCATCAAAGTCTCCTGGAATATCCAACAAAAAAAAACCACAGGGTAAAAAAATCTATCAACTTTAACTAATAAGTCTTGTACCATACCCTTAGGAAACACAATAGACCTACTAGTTTCTTAAACACTTGATATGGTATAACATTAAAGCTAGCCGCCTAAATCTGCCAAATGTTCCTTAAAATTGTAAATCGCCAATCATGCAAGGTATAGTGAAACTCCCTAGGTCTTCTTCTTTTCGGGCAACTTGTTTTGAAGAATAGTCGAACATTCCTCGTTAAGTTTGATGGTAGAAATAGCTCCTAACTTCTCCCTCCGTGTCACTATCTCCTTCGAGAACTTGGTGTATTTTAGCATTTGGGTCATGGTTTCTACTCAAGGGACATCGATTTGAATTTTCTTATGAATATCCATGAATTTTTCGAATTCCTCATCAAATTGATCCCCCTTACGTCTTGAAGGGTAGGGTGCTAAGGGTGTTTCCACTTCATGTTGGGGTTGTTTCACAACTTCGGGGATTTCCGGATCGGGTGAGGTCTCCTTTTCCTCTTCTTCTAGGTCTACATAAGTTGGAGTTGTAACTATTTACCTCGCAAAAGGTGGTTCTAGAGTCTTCTTTCCACTTCGCAGAGTGACTACCTTGCTTTCTTCTTCAACATTCTTGATGACTATAAGACCAGTTAAAGCGGCTAACCATTTTTCTAATTTATGCAGATTCGTCTCGTTACAATGATGATCCTCATCTAGAATCCGAAATTTATCCATGGTTGTTTCGATGAAACCTTAATTACATCCTTCTTGAGTTAACTTTGATCCATGAAGTATTGAAATTTTTGAGTGCATTCTACTTGCTTGTCTTCATTACCTAAATTAAGGGTAAAGACTTCCTCATCCAGGCTAGGTTTTGCATGGTAGAGCGGTTCTGGTGATGACCAAGAGAGATTCACTCTAGAGGATGGATCAATGGAGATATGTGGGTTTCATGGATTCCTTTCTTATTTTGATGGCACTCTCCTCATAACATTCCATCCCATAGATGAGGGGGAAACACTCCCATGCACTTGTTCTTACGCTGCTGGTGTTTGTTTTACCACCACCAATTTGATTGTTTTGTCAATCCTATCTCCTAGAAAGGGAACGATCACATGTGGAGTTGGTTTGGATGCTTCAACTTCCTCCTCTTATTGCTCCCTTCTCCAATCACAATCGTTCTCAGCAATGTTTTGCAACAGTTTTAGGATATCTCTTGGTTCTTTGTCTCTTAAGTTGCCTCTCCCAATCATGAGGATTCTCAATTTTTTATCACTATTGATGACCTTAAAGAAAATTTCCAATTTTCTCTTGTCGTCAATCCCGTGGTGAGAGCATTCAGAAAACAAAGAGTTGAATCGTTCCTAAGAATCCTGAAAAGACTCTTGCTTCCCTTGCCAAAATGAGCCTATAATTGCCCTGATCTTGGAAATTTGGGAAGGAGTATAGTACCTATTCAGAAATTTGTCACAAAGTTCCTCCCACGTGGCTATGGAGTGATGAGGTTGACTAATCAGCCATTTCCTAGCCTCTCCACCAAGTGAAAAAGGGAAGAGTCGGAGACAAATCGCCTCTCTAAGCGTCTCATTTGCATTGATCCCATCAATGAGGGTAAGAAAATCCTCTCGGTGGTGATGGGGTATCTCATCTTTGGCCCCAATAAATTGAAAATCGGTCTTGATCATAGAAATCATGTCGGGATTAATGTTTTAACCTTGCCCATTCATGTTGGGATACCAAATGTGTAACTGCATATCTTTTGCTCTTGGACATGAGTAGGACCCATCGTCCTCCATCTCGGTTGTAGTTTCTCTTGCACACCATTGGTTGAGCTTGTAACCTTGCAGTTCTTCTAAGTCCTCGGAGTGTTCTTTCGATCTTAGTATCAAGTGGTACCAGTTCAAGAGAATCTATTATTATCATACACACAAGCTTCAAAACTCAAACTCAACAACTGTGATGCACAAAGTGTGATAAAATTGTCAAGAACCAGTTGATCCAATAACTCGAGTTGTTGGGAGAGAATCAATAATGGATCTTATACCACTCACTAACACACCCCCTCAAACGAAAGACAGTCAGACCATAAGGGCTTTCGTTTGCACATGTCCTGAACACGAATGCATGTGCTTCACAAATGGGGTCACCGGGATTCGAACACAAGATCTCCCCACCACAACAGGCTCTGATACCATGTCAAGAACCAGTTGCTCCCACTAATATGGGAGCTAGCTCAATGGTCATGCAACTAACCCCCTCCTAATCTGATCCACTAACCCAATCTCACGTCAATCAGATTCACAAATTAGGGATACATTCTATTCCCTTTCAAGGGGTTTAACCCATTTTCTATATCAACATTTCGATGGTACCGCTCTATCATCACCTAGGTGGGCATCATAGTTGGCAGGGGATGGTCACCTCATCCACCAAATAGGTCCTTACATCAATCATTTACGCAAACCATGCCAGGACAGCTCAATCCACAACACTTTGAGTCAAACCCTAACAAGGCAATCAAAGATAGCACATGGAGAGACAAATCCAAAGCTCAATAATCATAGATAGATGCATAAAAACACCAGGCAAACACATTCCATTCATAAACTTAAGCAAAATTCCTCTTACATAACAAATCCTTTAACTAGGATTTGGGGGACAATGCCCCTAGTACCTTGAATGACTAGCCCATAAATGGGGGAAGAAAAGACATGGAAGAATGAAGAAGGAGGACTTCTTTGGGAGAATCCCTTCCTTCTTATCTCATTCTTTCTTATCCTGTTCTCTCCTTCCTTCAGCTTCACTCACTAAACTCTCTCTACAAATCAGAAATTCAGCATACATAAAGCTGTGATGGAGAACAATAGAAAAGGTGTGAAGCTCTACATTCTATTGTTTTATGGGGGAAAGAAATCATGAAGCTTTTCTTGATTGGGAGGAGGGGATGGAAAACTTCTTTGAAGATTATTATTATTCGGATTGGAAAAAGGTGCAAATCGCTTCTATGACATTCACTAATTATACTAGTGTATGGTGGGATCAACTTTGTGCATCATGGAAACGAGATAGCAATATGGAAATAGAGTCTTAGGTAGTGATGAAGCGGGTCATGAGAAAGAGATTTTTACTCGATGATTGATATCCTCAAGCTACTCTCCAAAGCCGCCACCAAAGTTTCAAGATTTCTGAAGATTACTCTAGGAGATCTTTTCCTTCACAAGAGATCAAGTCAAACGGGCAAACCGCTTATCATAAGAAGGAAGATCCGACACCTACAATATCTCCAGAGAGTACATCAAAACTTTCAAGTGATTTGAAATCTCTTTGCGAATAGATAATGGGAATCTTAGTTAGAGTAAAGGAGCTAATGGAAGAAGACAAAAATAAGAAAAAGCAAGAGGCTGTCAGTACAAGATTCGTTGATCTTGATTTAAGTTATGATTTTCAAGCTCGATTCGTGGTGAGAAAGTTGTAGTAGAAGTTGAAGTCAATGACGAGAAAGAAGAGGTTCTTGTTGATGGACTTACTATGTTCACTTGTGAAGAGGATTCACAAGCTGTGATTTCATCTAAAAAAGAACCAAAACTTGAAGTAGAAGAGAAAGTCGAAGAAGAGGCAGAAGAAGCGACTGAAGATGTTCTTGTTGATGTGCCAGTGTTGAGTGCACCTGAAGTTGAGCAATTTATTGAGGAATCAGAATTTCACGGAGAGGATGAATGCATGAAAATTTTGGAGGATTCATCAATTGTTCCAGAATATGATCATACCGACTTCGTGATTGGCAAATCAATTTCTGAAAAGGAATCTCGCATGGAAAATTGACGAGAAGTTCTAAGATACATAGAGATTTTTCCTCGTGATGGTGTTTCTACAATTCGTGGACGAATTGTCCTTAAGAAGGGGGGAATGATACAATCGCTACAAAAGACAATTTAGTTCGAAAGCCAAGAAGAGTGGCGTTGACCAGAGTTCAAGATTCTATGAAGATTCGAGGTCAAATCTTCTTCAAGAGAGAGGGAATGATGCGATATTGACTAACACGATATTCAATTCTAGTTGTCCAAAAATGAAGAGTCGAATTTATCGATATAAGGATCAATTGGGAGCTTTCTTGATGGATCAAATAATACTCGTGGTTGTGTTAACACATGAACATGTGAATTAGGATCATATCAAGTGGTATCTTTACTTTTCGTGTTATTCAAGAAAGAAGAAACCCCCTCAATAGTTTGACGTGTGCAACTCTGGTGTTTTGGTCCAAGTTCGAGTAGATTCTTGAATTAGGATCATATCAATAATTTCTTCCTATTGAGTATTGATAATTTGTTTGATGTTTAGATTCTAGTAATTATCTGGATTGTTAGGAATAATATGTTCCTACTGTGATAATTTGTTATGTATGTGATAATATCATATATCCCGGCTAAACTAGGTTAAACCGATCGACCCATTAATTCTTGACTCACTACCTCAACCGGACCAACAAGCTAAACCGGGTTGACAATCTTGGATAAAGGCTATAGTACTATAGGCCCTTTATTGGTGGTACCAAGAAACAAGTACGACTGCTGAAGTACCTTCCTAGTGCAGAACTGTAGCAGATATCAGATCAAACAGAAATGAGAACGGGACTTGCTGTTCCACATCCACGGCCAGGGCACTATTGATCATTGTCTCGCATTAGGCTACATTCAAATTAGAGAACAATTGTCTGATACAAGATACATACATATATATGTGTACATGATATCATGTATTATATTAATAGGGATGATGATGAGATGATGAAAGGAAATCATCCTTCGGCTGTGTTGAATCTTCTATATGTACATCTTGTACATTCATTCTTAGAGCAGCCCTTTCATAAGTAAAACATGGTCACATAATACAGCACTTCAATACCAGCCCTTTATGGTCCACTCTTCCATCCTCATTCCCTGCAAAAAAGTACCAACCACCACATTCAACCCAGTGTTACTGCCTTGCTTCTCAAATTCTACACAGCCTAACACATCAATGACGTCGGTAACACATTGCCAATACCATTGTAAATCCCTAAACCATGTCGGAGTGAAAGGGTTGCATACCTTCTGAAGGCTGAGCAAGCTTCCTGTTTTGTGGTGACATCATTTCTTTCTTCAACCGCACCAGTATCTCCTCCATTGTGTAGTCTCTGTTCCAATTAGCGAGCATCGGGAAAAGCCTTGGTTCAACCTGATGATACAATGCTAGTCATTAGCATGTTTATGGGGGAAAACGACGTTAAACCCCACTGCAGCCAACACAAAGAAATATCACAACAAAATCACTTACAACGCCAGTTTCAGGATTGACACAAGTCATGTTTAACCGGGTTTGGAACTTCACACTGGGTGGGTAATCTGGATAACCCATGCCACAAAACAACTTCAACTGGTAGATCCGCCCCTCATGAACAGTCTGCCAAGCAGGCAAAAAAAAATAAAAACGCAAGGCCAGTTGTACTGCTAGATAAACCCAAAAAAGAAACACATCTACCAATTACTACACAAAATAAGCATCATACATTAGGAGGACCAATAATGGTTCCAGTCCAAGACTGCATCAATATATCATCAGCATCGTCCATTCCATAGCTCACAGTACCATCGCCAATCCCCTTTTCACCTCTTTCAAGCTCTTCCAGGAGTCTGAAATTCCTTGGCACTAGAGCCAAACAGCAAATTATTACAGGTTAATGAAAAGCATGTCCCTCTGTCGGTAACACAGCATGATTTTGTCCTATGCATCATCCGATAGAACTAATGACAACATAATCATCCCAAAAAGGTAAAAGAGAGATTAATGCCATCAATCATCATAGCAGGAGAAAAGAGAGATTGACCCATTCACTAACATTAACATATCAGGAATGCTAGCTACTCGTAAAACCTTCATCTAGTTGAAGAAATCCGAGCAATTAGAGGAATAGACTTAGCCACTTGAAGATGACATTAACCCCAGAGGACAGGTAAAAGTACAGACTCCGAAAACAAGTATAACCAATCACCCAGTTCAGCGTTGAGAGTTAACACTTGGCTGGCTCCCAAAGAAGCTTACACTAAAAATTTGCACCCAGCATACAGACACTACCTAAATGCAAACATGATTAGGTGGTAGATGAGCTTGAATGAGAACCACAGAGCAAAAAATGCCAAAAGGATGAGAAACATAAGCTGTTGCTGCAACTCAAGAAAGCAAACGAGAAACCAATAAAGAATAGATGATGAGCTAGCTCATCACAAAGCGTTCCCCTGAAAGGTCAGGATTCATCCCCTCCAAAAGCTGGGGAACTACAAATATCCAATCACAACCATTTACAACCGCAAACCCAACCGATCCTTCGTTACCTAAAAATACACTTTCAGCAGCGTGAGACACGAACCATCTAGACAAGCAAGCAACCCTAAACTGAAATGGGACAAGAGCACAGGCCATGAAACCACAGCAAGAGAAGCAAGGAAGATGAGGAAAGAGCGAGTGAATAGGCTAGGGTATTTGGGTACAGGGAGGCCGGAAAAGTCGAGGTCACTTACCAACAACGCTGGAAGGTTCAGAGTCCATTACTTTGGTTGGGGGAAGGGAATGCCAAATTCTAGGCTGGATTAGGAGGACGCCGACCAACGAGGATTCGAGAAATCTACCAAATCGAATCGAAGATTGAAAGAGCAGCAATTAGTGCAGGAGCAGAGGGTGAAAGAGAGAGAAACGTTGTGGGGAAAGGTAAAGGAGGTAGAGGTAGACCAGAGAGAGAGAGAGAAAGCAGTAAGCACGGTGAATGTGAAGAGACTGTTGAGCTGGCTTTCGCTTTGGCAACTGTTCCCAGAGTGGAGAGAGACTCCACACCACTGTCTATGTTTCGAGTAGGGTTTGGTCGGTTCGGTCAAAACCAAACCAAACCACATTAAAATTGATCTGGATAAAGTGTAACATTACAATTTGCGGATTTAGGTTCGACAAATAATAAATGTACAATTGAGTTGAAGGTTCCAAACAAACCGAACCCAAACACATGTATAATATGCAATTGAGCCAAACTATTTGATAGAAGGGGGCCAAACTTAAGGAGTCAAGGTCTAAATTAGTTGACAGGAGGCCTTTTGGTTGCCTTTTACCTTTATAATAAGAATTGTCCTAAAAATTAAAGATTGTATTAGCTAAGGGGAAGTATAGGTGTCAAAACAGAATCCGATCCGAGTAACTCAACCGCTCAATTTGACCCGAATTGACTAAAGTCAACGAATCGCAACCTGTACGACTCATGACCCGACTGACCTGCAACCCGATTAATCCGCAACTCTATTGACCCGAATCCGACTAATCCATAACCCGCTCGATTGAACTGAACAATTAATATATTATATAATATATAGTCTTTCAAAATAAAGCTTATGTCTATACCTAAGTGAAGCCATTTTTTCATTTCGTAAAGTGAAGTGAAGTTCAAAATCTGAAATTATTTTGAAATTATGCTTCTTTAATTACATAAATTAAAACAAGAAGTTCACTTGAAAATTAATTTCTTTTAACAAAATTAAATTAGAAATATAATATCAACACAATGCTCATTTTGATAATGAATAGTTAACAATGGAGACATGTTTGTAAAAAAAAAATTAAACAATATTATTAATATTTCATCTTTTAGAGGGATATAATTGGGTAACGTTTGGTGTTTCTATAAATACATAATTTGAAAATATTTAAAGACGATGAAAACACATATGTACTTAGAAATAGCATTATTTTTATTTATTTTCAACAGGTTTGTACAAAATAAAAAACAATGAACATGATCATGGAAATAACAAAAGAAATTACAAAGAAAAGGTGCTCTTATACAATATTTGCTTCTAATTAAGATACCGTTCGACAATCGACACATCCCTACTCAAAGTCATCATCATCAAGGTCTGCATCCATCCATCCATCCATGTTTCTTGCTGCCAGTGAAGCATATTACGGCGAGTTGCTTTGCCATTGGAGGGCTGCTGTGACTGGATTAACGAAGAGCGAAAGGCTTCTTCGTGGGTTTCAAAACTCGTTGCCTGCAAAACAATGGCACACACGGAATAGAGTAGCAACCAAAGGTACTCGATGCATTCCACGACATCAACCATACATGGACAAATTACTACTTAATTTCAGGCTTATAATCCATTGAAAGAAAAGATAAAGATATATACAACAAATATAGCTCATCATCGTCCCAAATTTAGCTACCTAAAATCCCCATGCTATTGCTACCTTGTAGCAAACAACCACCAACGACAAAAATTAATACAAAAAAAATCCCTTGTAGCTAATTAAGAATAAGAGGCCACATACAATCCGTTATGTTCAAGTATCATCAACAGTGGTCTTCAATCAAACGAAGAGTGCGATTCTAACTAGAAGCGGAAAAGTAATAAAATCTTAAAAGTGTATAATCAAAGCGTAAAAGCGTAGTTTTCTGTGCATACTGTAAAATAACTAAAAATCTATTAAGTATGACATATACTATGTAAAATATGAGTGCACTGAATTTAAATAAGTTAATAAATACATGCAATTCATATATAAAGTAGAGCAACTCATAGCATCTTAACAGCAAGTTCATAAATTTACTATGTTGATAAATTTAGAGTGTGTGGTGGGGTTTGGTAGTATGATTCCTTATGCTATTATACCTTTACTATGCTGATAAATTTCCAAGCTTTGGGAGTGTGCGAATGTGCTAAATGTTTTTAAAAAATTTACTATGTCGCACGCTCTCCTATGCATATCCATACTCAAATTATTTTGAGTTGCTAGTCTCCATGTTGATACGTTATCTATGAAGACTAGTTTAGTGGCTATGAAGGATGTCCTCGACATGAGACTAAAGACCACTAGATATATCTGGATATAGTGCTTCTCACTATCCTTTGTGAGTTCTCGAACTCTTCCAATGAGTCTTTTGCTCTTAAAAGCTTAATAGGATCAAAATATATCATTTTACATTAAAAAATCCTACCTAACAAAGTGATATAAAAGTCATTATCATTACATATAAAGTGTGGGATAAAGCCACATGTGAGGCAATCACTCATTGCACAGATGCAATAGGAACAATTCAATTGAGCATCGGTTCGCAACCGTACAATGTTACTTATCTTGTACAATCCCTTGATGAGTGAAGTGTCATTTGAGAATTATGCTTAGAGGAAATAAAGCTTTTGACACCCCTTGTTCGCATTCTCTCCACATGGATTGAGAAAAAGAGTTAAACGAAGCCCTTATGCAAATGCTAAGGTGCAAAAGTTGCTTTTGCTTTATCAAGGTTGCAAATAAACTCACTTGTGATACAAAAAGTACCAAAAATCGACATGCAATTCATAAAAGAGATGACGTTAAACTCTCATTGTCGAACAAATTTAAAGATGTGCCTAAACATCTAAATAAAAGCTTCACCCCAAATGTTTTTAGACTCTCAAGTTGAGGTCTTAGCTTATGATCGATAGAGATGTGGCCAGATTGTCTTTATGAGATATGTACCTTGTAAGATTCTTATGATCCACTACCTACGTTGAAAGTCATGTGTCACCGTAGAGGTCTAGTGAGTTGTATTTTCAGTATCGTCTGCTTGATGGCAAACAAAGTTCAAGTGTGGGATAATTTGATGACGCGTAAACTATATATTTTATCACCTCAATATATGGCATGTTTGCATCATTTATTCATATATTTAGTCATTTCAACTTGGATTTTCTTAATATTTTCTCAAAGGCGTATTTGATAGTGCATTTTTGCACATTTGATGTCTTTTTGGTATTTTATGGATATTTTCCGACCAAATCATGGGCAAGGTTCATCATTACAGGACAGAGGACGAGATTAAGAGCTTTTGGGATCAAAGGAGGATAGATTCGGATTTTGGACTAGGGAGAAAAGGCCCAAACAAGTTAACACGCTGGAGTAGTTCAAGAACAAAATCAGCGCCCTGAACCCAAAATCGGCTCGGACAACTAAAAACACTGATGATTCTGGAAATGTGTATGAAAGGTAATTTTCTAGGAGCAGTAGTCTGTTTGTCCTAGGGACGAAATTGGTAGGGTTAGCCACAAGAGTACGACCAGAAGAAGCTCTCAAGCATCAAGACGGAGCAGGAGATCAAGAAGCAAGAACAAGATTACCATGGTGATGCCTTCTCCTCTTGTATTTCCAGTTCCTTTTGTATGTGTGAATAGCTAAACGTCTAGGCTGTCAAGATTATGCAGAACCCTATGGATGACAGATAGATAGATTTCATTATGAGTTTGATTGATGTTATGAGATTGTTTTCATATCAATTGGATGATAGATAGATAGATTTCATTATGAGTTTGATTGATGTTATGAGATTGTTTTCATATCAATTTTATTTTTATTCCATCGAAGCTATCTTCTCACGTTTTGATAGTTTCAAGTCAGTTTTATGATTAGGTGAGACTAGAAATGACCATCTCATCGCAATCGAACACCAATCAATTAAGCTACCACGTAGTGATGGCAATGGGGAGGGACGGGTATCTCAATACCCATGCCCCGCTCCATGTTATTATGGGTCGGGACGGGCGGGGCGGCCCACTCTTACATGTTATTTGAAAAAATACACGCAAAATTGTACTTTTTACGATAAAACAAAGGAAAAATAGTTTATGAATGGAAAATAGTGATAATAGAATGAGTAATTGAGTCTTACTAGTTGAAAGATCGACTCTAACTAGTTGAAAAAAAATCAAAATAGAAGAAATATGAATAGATACTATAAGAAATTGAGATAAAGTGGGCCAAGAACGGAGCGAGGCAGGGCGGGTTTGGAGTAGATACCTATGCCCCGCCCCACGCTACTGCGGGTCGGGTAATACTCGCCTCATTGCGGGTCGGGTCGGGTAATACCCGTGGGGCTGGTTCAAATTGCCATCACTACTACCATGGCTTCTCAAGAGAGAAATCTGTATGACCAGTCCTAGCCTGTTAGATCTGACCATCGTTAGACAGATGACAGGGTGAAAATTGATTCGCATAATCGAGCAATTCATATGGCATAGAATTTTATCGTACCGATGACCCTCCAGATCCTTCTTCTCTCGAGTTGCTTCTTCCTTCTATTCTTTCTTTTCTCGGCCTCAAAATTGGTGACACTCCATATTAACCAAGAGGGGACAGATCTAGGTGAGTCGAGTTTTTGCATGTTTTATGTTTTAGTATTTGTTTGTAAATTTTCAATTCTGATCTTCCTCCTTTTCTTGGCGTTTGGTGTTCTTGATTGCGGAGGACAGAAGACGAGTTTTTTTCTCTCCCTCCTTCTATTTTTTCTCCTTCTTTTAGGTAATATATATTGATAGTACCACACTATATTATATGGTATTGTGTGGTAACGAAATGTATGTATATAGTCACGAGTTTTATCATGGTGGTAGTGGGTGGTAATCAATATCAATTCCGAGAAAGAAGAGTTAGAAGACAATAAAGGGGGAGAAGAAAATGGAGAAAGTCGTAAATATTATTGTATATATATATTGAGATTACCACACTATACCATATGGTAATGAGTGGTAACGAGATGTATTTTTAATGATGTCATGTTTTATATGATCGTAGAGGGTTGTAATTAGATTTATATTATTTTTATATGGATTTACCTTCTCCTACCATGTGGTATTGTATGGTAATCATAATTAATTTTTGGTCATTCAATTTACCATGTTTTACTATGGTGGCATTGTATGGTAGTTATATTTAAAATTTTATGTAGCATCTTTTACCACGTTATACCATGTGGTATTTGCATAGTAGTTGGATATGTAATTTTATTTTAGCATATTATACCATATGGTAGTTGAATTTGTAATTTTCTTCAACATATTTTACCATATTTTACCACAGTAGTAAAAAGTGATCATCATATTCACATTTGTAATTACTATCTTTAGCACTGAATTATTTAACGAAAAATCATCATTCAATTTGAGTTGGAATTAGAGTAGAGATAAGTGATATGGTTAGATTCATTTTTGTTGTAGAGATGGAGGGTAGAGAGTATATACATTTCCCTTTTCTTTTAGTTGCAGATGGGAGAGAGAAGAAATCATGTATATTTTTTTAAATAATAAAGCTAAGAGAGAGGGGAACATGGGTGGGGGAGGGGGAGTGGGATCCACGTCTTGTAAAAAGTTAGTGTCAACGTCAAAGCGTCAGCATTAAATGTGGATGACTGTAATTTATCCTACTGCTCTTTTGTGTTTAATTTAAATAAAATGCAAAGGCTAACGCCTAAAGACAAATGATTGGCTTACTAATAGTTACTAATAGGAGTGTTAATGACCTGATCCGGACCTATCAAAAGAGAACACTGAACTACAACAGAAAATAAGGGTACCAAATCTGTAACTCTATCTAATTCGAAGCACCTAGCTTGGATCTGGTAACTTTAAGCGAATGTTTCTCACAAGGAAAAAAGACGAGCTTTTTAACAATCCTCTTGGTGGCTGGAACAGAGATTACAAAGTTTTATTTATTATTATACAAGCAAATCACAAGTGAAAGAGAAAAACTATATATAACTACAAATGAACATCAAATTACAGACTCAAACCTTATACAGAGGAAAAAACAAGCGGAACGAAATTCCATACACAATCAGTGTCAAACGAACAACATCATCGATCTCTCTCTCGTGAGTTGGAAATCCCAACCCTAAATACTTCTTTCATCTCATTTCCATGCTTCTTCCTATAGCGCAAACAAAAAACCAGAAAAAGCAGCTGCCATGCCACCACCAAACTTACATCCTTCTCATCTCCTGCGGCGTTTGGTAAACACCAAACATTACAAAAGGCCTGTACTTCCAAATGGATTGTTAGCCTGATGAGGCTGAGAATGAGGATGATGATCAAGGGGCATAGCCGTAAAGCCAGCGTTGCCAAAGCCTGTGTCGCCAAAAGGATTATGGGGATGAGGTTGCAATGCCTGCTGCTGCATAAAAGGGGACGTTTGGTATGGACCAAAGGGGTTGACGACTGGCTGTTGTTGCTGACCCATTTGTGCTGCTGCTGCTGGTGGAGCTATGCTAGTTGACAGAGCAAACGGGTCATGCACCTCAAAAGGGTTTGGTGCTGGTACTCCATAAACCGGCTTCTGCGCTGCTCTATAAACACCATCATCATATAGGCTGTTGAGGGTCAGTGTGTCTAATCCACCACCCTGGAAACATCCATTATTCTCGTGGTCAGTAAATGCTGGATAGTGTTCTCTAACAGGATATGAAGGGAGAGAAAAAGACATACCAACTGCCTCTCATTAGCGGATGAGATGTTATTGCTTGGGGCAGTGACCAGGGCAAGTTCCCATCCAGTGGGATCAAATTCCTTTGCTTGACCAGCACCAGAATTGAAAGTTGGTGCAGTAGCATCTGTAAATGAGTTGTAGTTTCCAAGTTCATAGGTAACCACCACATCTCAGGTGAAAAAAAGAGGTTAAGGAAAGCAGAGGTACCTGTTTCAGACGAGACAATGGCTAAAGCCAATGCGTTACTTTCCTCTATTGCAGATGCATCTGGGGATGCATTACTTAATCCCTGAAACAGGGGGGGGAAAGGACGCAGAAAAAGAGGGACAGAAGGTGTCAGTAGTCAATCAAAACAATCAAGCAACATACATTAGTGGAGCGGAAAAAAGAGAGAATACCAGTAGATCTCCAGTAACCATGCCGTTCTGAGGAGGAGGGGCAACAGGAGTAGGAGCTTGAGAAGAAACTTCGACGTGTGAAACATCAACAACATCAGCAGGAAGTTGCTCCGGTTCATCACTCGATTTGGCATCCTCGGAAGGACCATCATCTGGTCGGTATGTCAACTGGAGCTGTTTCAAATTTTAATGAGTAAGACCAGAAAGCAATGATCATCTCTGGAATCAAATGAAGCAAAGCCAGAGGAAATGAAACCATCTGGATAATGGTAGAAACAATATCAATATTCAATACTACCACAAAATTGTACTTTGAGGAAATAAAATTTGTGGTTCCAGGTATTCCACGAGAAACATTGCTTGCCATTTGCATTCATGAAACTGGTTGCTAATATTCAAGCTTAGATATATTTACCAATGTTTTGGAGAATAGCATCTGATGGAGCGTATTATACTTACCAATGGTTCACTAGTAACAGACACAACACGGGGTGCCTCCCGTATGTACTCTTCCATGGTTGTAAGAAAAGATTGTGGAGGCTACAGAAAGTAAATATCATCTTTATATTGCTAATATTTGGGTCAGCTAACAAAGTAAAAAGGAACATGAAACCACAATATATGATACCTCTCTTAAGACAGGGAACTGAAAGTTCCTAGCAAGTTCCAATCCTTTGCACACTTCATAGAAATCAGAAAGGCTAGCAGCCTGGAGAAATACCAAAGTGCTTAGACAATGCATTCTTTCACAACCATTAACTACATGTAGCTATATCATGCCAGATCACTTCACTACACTACCTGCTGGCCAGCTCTTTTGTACACATCAAGAGCTTTGATGGCTTCATGCCTTGGCATTTCAAAAAACTGCAAGAAGAAACATATAAGGGATGGAAAGAACCGTGAACATCATTTACTTAAATAACCAAATATTGAGTTGCATCAGGATAGGCTCGTCAAGAATATTTACCTTATCCACAAGATTGATAATTCCATCATTGATAGCACAATATATTTTGAAGCTCTCTTTCAACACCTGAAGGTTCAACATTGCAAACAGCATTACCGGGAGAAGTGCCCATGTATTTGAATTTGAATAAATTCATTTTGAGATGCAGGTCATCAATTCAAAATAAGCACTCCTAGATCAAAATTTGACTAATGCATATGGTAAGGCTAGGGCATCAAGAACCAAATTATTAGATAGGACGGAATGCCATTGGAAAATGAAACATCCTGTTACTGAATGAAGACCCGACAAACCAGCCCTAACAACTCCATATTCCCTAAGGTATGGGGCTTCTCATGGGCTCTCCTCGAAAGAAGTATGATAGAATTGGAAAGTAAATAAGCATTGGGCAAGACCAAAAAGCTTGTCCAGATACTATGTAAACTTCCACACAGGATAAACTAAGACTTCTGCTCAGTCCAACTGGGAGACATAAAAACCAGGCAAGGACAGTAGTTTTTTTATGTATTTTATTCATTCATTAAACACTAACTCATAAAATGGAATCTTTGTGTTGAACAAATCTACCAAAAGATTCATTACCATTAATATCTGGTTATGCGCTTGCAGTGAGCACAAAATAGAGAAGTCATTCTCAACATACAAAACAATCCAGCTTCAAGCAATTTCAGATACTAGTGTACTCACAATAACGTTGAGAACCTACATTTGATGACAAAACATATAGGTTCCAAAAATATTATCATCTGGCCTGTCACGATACACATATCGTGAAGTCAACAACCTATTCTAGATGACTTTCTAGAGAATTGCTCATCACATTCACAAGCAGTCCAGCTTTTGTATGCAGACAGAGAAGAGAACTAATAATTTAAATCCAGCTAACATACGTTCATTCTAACTCCTTCAGTGTATCTCATCAAGTTCAAGCAAATTAATTAATGGCTCATGAAAGTCTGTGGAAAGAGGACATCTGTCACAGAAGTCAATTTCCAAAAAAAAAAACGCTAGTCCAGTAATACAGTTATTGTCCGTACCAACTATTGCAGACATGCAGATAAGGAAAGAGACAGATACAAACACCCACATAAAGAGAGAAAAGGGAAACAAGAGATAGAGTGAGATCAGGCATACCAGAGCAAGAGCATACTGAATAGCATAATTTCCAACAGCTGCACCTTCTGGCTGTAAATACAAACGACAGGGTTAATATACAAGGCACACCTCTGAAATATGGCCAACTGAGGAATGAGTCACAAGGGTTTCACAAAGAGTACCCGACAACCAACAAGCCGGTACAACAACTGCTGTAGTGCAGGAAGTTGCTCTAGTAGCTCTTCACTATCCAAGTCCCTGGTTCTGCTGTAACCCTGATTACAAAAACGCATACAGATGACATTGCTTCTTTTTCATAAGAAAGCAAGTGAAAGAATAAGCTTATGCAGGTGTTAACTGAAAGCAGCAGATTGCTACTTGTTAATGATATCAGTAACTGATGCGGAAACAAGTGCTGAGAGATATCATTTTCTAAAAGGAAGTTATATGGTTTGCTGGAAGTATTAAACTACAGAAGTTCAATATTCTAGAGTAATTCTAAGAGTTGAGCTAGGAATATAGTACCAGAATGACTTGTACTCATTAAAGCATCATTTGTATGTTCTCTCATCTATCTCACACATATTTTTCTTCCTATTACGAATCTTTACCCTTCTGTATACTTATCCACTCTTTCTACTGCTATGCTAGACAGTTAGGCATCCAACCTAAACTTGATCCACCTTCGATTTTTTTCTATTCTTAAATCCATAACAGTAATAGAACAAACAAAAATGCACAAACGGAGCATGCCGCTTATATAACAAGTGGGGCTAGGTCCACAACAGAGCATGCTGCTTATAACATGTGCTGCTCTTCGCATTCTGACCCTACCTCCAGTTCTTGACAAACAGGAAAGCACATAGTTTGCATTTCATTGTGCACCAAAGAGACGTTTGACTTACAGCTGTCACTAATTTCACAGACTTTATTTTCACCAAGATTAAAATTAAATTCCAAAGCCATTAACCGAGAATTACCACATAAAGATTCCCAACATTCACAAAGATATCTCACTTGCATAATCATTTCCTTCAACAAATGCTGCATCAATCCATTCCATTATCATTAAGTGAAATTAAAGGGTGTTGTTTTTACTTCCATGACTGCCTGGTCCAAATTGGAGTCTTTACGATAGATCTATACTTCTTTGTAAATGTTAGATCTACAAGGTACCTTATCCTGGGCCTGAGCAGGTTTCGGGAGACGCTCAGCTTCAATGTCATACTTCAAGACTCTAAAGCATTCAAGACGCTCCTCCAAAAACAATGCATATGTACGTACCCAAGCAGAACAATCCCACGCTGGAAAAAGAGAACAAATAATTACGGAAGAGCTAACCAAAATCATTTTCCCTTCAACTTGCATATACGTGGTAGGGGACCAGTAACAACCAATAGGACTAGAATCATCCTTGAAGTTTGAAAGCTGGAGAATGCGCCCTCTTTGGGAGTAGTTCAGCAATTCTTCTCTAAGAGTAGGGTCACCTTCCCTTAGCAATCTATGGATAACAATCAGTGTCTTCAGTGCCACCTATCAACAAAAGAGTACAATTCACCCAACATCTTAGCAATCTTGTCCCAATCGTAAAGACAGTTGTGGAATGCACTTCAAACAAAGTTAAGCTCCCTACCACACATCGCAAGCAACATTCATTCCCCAAAACACTTAGAATAAAACCATTGCCAGTCAGACTCAAAAATAAAGAGAGTGGCACCTCTATTATCATCTACAGACCACTTAACTAGGCCATGGTCATGGACATGCATTCAGGAGTTTCACTATCACTCAGACTTAACAGAGTACTAAGTTACTGACCACTCATACTAGTAGTAGTACAATCAAAAGCAACCACAATTCTGCTCAAACAAAAGTCAAATCCACTCCAATTTATCAAGAAAGAGCAAGGCTATGTTCCTAAACCAGGAACTCGACCAAAATATTAAGTTCACTTCCGAAACTAGTAAAGGAAAACCCTAAATTCTTCCTACAAAAATTGTCGCAACTCGTTTCATCAAGAAACATTGTGCACTCCAAAAGAAAAAAAAGACGCGTTCGGCACTGCTAAACAGAGAGTTGAAGTGAAACACACAGAAGATGAGAATGCATAGTTCAGCGTACCGTCCAGTTGTGGGTCTTGGCCAACCGTCGGGAAAGAGCGTGGATGCAGTAAGCAACATCAGCTCTGGGACGAATGGCTTGAGTAGCAAACAAGATTTCTGCGGGAAGCAAATTCCAAATTCTCCATTAATCTCTATACAGCATAAAGTTCAACATTGGATCTTCCCCACCACAGAGCAACCTCGAATTCCAAATGCAAAAATTAGAAACGAATCACTCACTCCTGACATGTCTTTCTTTGGGTGGACACTCGACATGATTCGTCGATTTAACAATTGCAACATCCAGTTCCTAATTCACAAACACAAGAAAAAAAGAAAGAGAAAGAGAGCATGTGGAAGAATCAGCGAAAAGAAAATTGGAGAAAGAGAGAGCAGAGCAGAAGAGAGAATCTAGCGAGCAAATCCTCCATGGTTGGTTACCGCGTAATCGCTATTGACATGAGCGAGGCCGACTTTGGTGGAGTCTTTGATAGCGCCATAGGCCTTCCTCCATGTTTGAAGCGTTCCCATATGTGTTTGATTTTTGCTTTTTATAGAGAGAGAACGATCGGATCGCCTTCTCTTTCTCTCTCGGCCCCCCTTCGATTTCGCAGGAAAATAGTAAGAAAACAAAAGGAAACAAGAGTTTGATCTCTGGCGACTACAGAACTCTTACGTGGTGGTAATGGCTCGTTTTTCTCAACCTCCCTTTCTCTCCCGATTCTTTTCTTTCTCTCGCTCCAGAGAAAATTCTGTTTGGTTCTCGGGAAAAATCGGAGAGGCTGTGTGCCTGCGAATATTTCTGAGAGAGAAAATGCGCGTCGAATTAATCGACCCAAGGGCAGGGCAGTGAGCGGTCTCAACCAAACCAACCAAAAAGGGTATAAAATATGGTTAATAGCATTTTCTACCCCTCTACTATCGCAAGTTAACAAATGTACCCCTCTACAAAATGTTTGCACAAACATACCCCTATAATATTAAAACGTGACAAATGTACTCTTCCGTCTAATTATCTGTTAAATGGTCGTTAAATAGGTTGGAAAATGACCATAATACCCTCACTTACTCTTAATTCATTTTATCTATTTTTCATCACACCCAATTAAATATTAAAACTCTTTCTACCAGAAAAAACTAAAACCCCCTTCTTGTCTCCTTTTTAATCAATTTCATGACTTCCTTTCTTCCGTGAGTCCCCTGAAATCCCCCCACCGTGACTGCGACCAAGCTCTTGCTGTCTATCTTTCTCCTTGGCTGCTCGAACAGACGACAGCGGGTGAGACGGCGAGAGCATCGGATGTAGTAGATAGACAGCAAACAGCTTGGTCGCAGTCACGAGAGCATCGGCTGGAGAAGAGGGCATCGACAATCGCCGAACGGCAAGAGGGGATTGGTTCGATTTATGGAGTAGACAATTCCAATGCACCGAGGATTTATTAGGATTTAACAGTGGGGATTGGTCCCAGCAGATGAGATAGGTGATTGGGGAGAGGATTCCTTCTCGGCATGAGGATAGCAGCTGCAGAATTCTCTCTCTACTCCAGCCGCTGTTACCGTAACCCGTTGCCATCTCACCCTGTGCTACTTGCTCCAGTCGCCGGCAAGGAAGAATCAAGCGCCACCTGCTGTGTGTTCGCATGGAGAAGAGGCCTAGCTTAAAGGTAGTAGCTGGGTAGAGGGATCGACCGGGAAGCAGCCGAGTTGAGGGAGACGGAAGGCTTCTTGTGAGTGGAGGGGATTAAGTTAGGGATTTATTTTAATTTTAATTGATTTGGGACAAAATAATTACAATGAAATTTGTGAGGGGGCAATTTGGTCATTACCTCACTCAGTTAACGGTCATTTAACAGATATTTAGACGGAAGGGTATATTTGTTACGTTTTAATATTAGAGGGTTATATTTGTGTAAAAATTTAGTACAGGGGTACGTTTGTTAACTTGCGATAGTAGAGGGGTAGAAAATGCTATTAACCCTATAAAATAAGGCAAAATTGAGAAAGGACAGGAAGGAAAACGAGGTTTGTTATTATTATTTTCTGGACCGGAGCTTAGTTGTTAAATTCGCCTTTTGTTAGCGCAATATTTTAACCGGCCGAAATTTTGACTTTCGATTGGTTAGGCCCAATATTGCATATTTCTAGTGAATTTTATACCAAATGGGGCGATTTGTCAAGCGTCAATCTGTCGATTTTGACAGCAAATAATGTCATGATCGGTTTGTTTCGGTTGTAACCATTAATCATATTTGTTTATATTATTATCGGTTAATTATCAATAAATTGAATAAAAAGTTTTATGGTTGTATAAAGAGATAATTTTGGTTCCAATTTTTCAAAATGACATAATTGGCGCAACTTTGCACATAATGGACCGTTTTGACTCGATTGTTGAATTGATCGTCAACACAAACGATCAACTTAACTAAATGTTTATTTTGTCAATATCATCCATGCAGACAAGATAGTCCTAGGCGGGGTACAACAGAGAAAAGGTACCGCCGCCGACTCAAAGACCAACTAAATACATAAAGTCCAGAAGAAAGACCAGGATAACGAAGGGCATTACGTGCCACAGTATGGATAACCCAATTCGCTTCTCGAGGAGTGAAATCAAAATGAACCATAGGTAACGTAGCAGAAGAGTATGAACCTCCGAAACAATTGCACCACCCCTAGCGTCATTAGCCTCCCCTGTCACCAACTGCTTCAAGACATGGTCTGCATCCCCAGTAATTTGAATTGACCGATCAATCCATCCCCAGTGACAAAGAAGATAAAACACTTCACGAATCGCCATTAACTCAACCAAATAGGGGTCGGAGATTGCTAGAAGGATACGCCAAAAAATGAACCACAACACTGAATTATCGAACCCACGATACCAACAGCACCATGAGAAGCACTTTGAGTCGACCCATTCACAGTATTCTTTATCTTGGAATTGGGAGATCCTAGTATTCTTTATCTTGCATTTGCCTCTCCATCTAGTTCCCTCTATTACCAAAGTCTTAGTCCCACTCAAAGGTGGGTGGGGGGGGGGGGGGGGGGGGGGGGGGGGGGGGGGGAACTTGGAGACCTAATGATAGTTCCTTGCAAGCTGTCGGCTAGAGTTTGGTCTGAAAAACTAGACTGGTTCGAACTAAGGTTTGCACCCATAACTCGTTGCTTGGTTGGTCCAAGAATTGGGCGACGCGGAGAGCCCATGCCCCAAGCTCGACCCAATTGATGCAGCTTGAGGTAGCCGTCTTGGTATGGCTTGTTGCAGCTGTTCATCATGGAGGAGGAGGTTGTCATTGTCGTTAGTATTGAAGAATAGTGTTGGCACCAAGATGTGCCAGCGTCTCCAGCGTCTTTTTCGTCTCTGCCGCGCGAGTTGGTGCTGCAACAGGAGTCTTTAGCGATCGTTGCTCTAGCTGCTTGACCCATCTCACCGACTGATTGAGTCGTTGGCGCATCAGGGTCACTTCTTCGTTTTGTTGACGGTTGTCGGTCAGGATTTCCCCCAGCATGGACCTGATCTCCGAACCCACGATGGCCGTGATCTCAACAATCATGGCAGTCTTGAGCTCGTCCACCACAACGGTCTTGATCACAAAAACTAGTACTGTCACCTTTTCGATTCCCTCGACCACCTTGGATGTCATCCTGTGGGGTTGCGTTGCGAGTGGAATTGTTGAAGCTTGCGGCTATGGGTTGCACTGCGCGCTCGCAGTGAGGTTTGCTGCGGACGCTTTGGTGGTCATTGTGGAGGGAAGGCGCAATTGAGAGGAATCAATTCCTTGTTGTTGTGCGACAAAAGGGGCTCAATTCCTTTATTTTTGTGGACAACAACTTGGTAGTGGACTGAGATGTAGCGGAAGGGTGAGCAAAAGGCTATGATATCAAATAGGATTGCAATCAAACTCATGGTCGCGGGTATTCGACCGCCCCCGACCCAGTCAACGCGGGGAATCCCTGCTTTGACCGGGTATGGGGCGGGTATGGGTAAAACCCACAAAAAGTTTGATGGGTATGGGACGAGTTTGGTTTTAGCCTCCCTCCCCATACTCATACCCGCCCCACCAATAGAATTTCTTCATATATAAAAAAAAATATGTGCATCAAGTTATAATCTATCAATGATGATGAGGATAACTTGAGAAAATAAATAGTGGAAATGCAATTGAGTGACCATCTTAATCAAAATCTAATTCATTTCTCTCAATTCTCATTTCACTCTTTCACTTTCCCCCTTGTCAACAAGATTATGTTAGTTAATTATTACTTAATAGATGTATCAGAGTTAGAACACAATAATTTGAAAAATATTATACTCTATATTATGTATTAATGGACATTTTAGGATCATATTCTTTGAACCATATTAAAAAAATGACTGTGTTTTGTTGACTTCATGATATAATATGTTCGTTTAGAGTTATAATTAAAACTTTTCTTGTAAGTTTTAGGTATAATAATGTTGGATGTATGAGTATGGGTATTACCTATGGGTACCCGAAACCCACGGGTATGGGGATGGGTTTGCAAAACATTTCTCCGCATGGGTATGGGGCGGGTATGAGTTTGGGTATTTGAAGATGGGGATGGGGATGGGGATGGTTTAGGCAAACCCGCCCCAAATCCTCCCCATTGCCATCCCTAATATCAAATGATAGAAATAGCGTTCCTATCGAGTTTGATATTTAACGATTAAGGTTTATGCTGACATAATTAGGTATTGAGATTAGGATTTGGATTTGGAAAAGAAGAATCGAACTAGGCCTTAGATTTAGAGGGATTGAAAACGAAAATTGAGAGGATAGGGAGATTAGGGTGTGAAAGGCTTTTATTAATATTTTTCTTATTGATTGAATAGAAGAATAAAACGTACAGATATAAAAAAAGAATAAGATAACTCTAACAATTAACCTAATACGACTAAAAAAATTAATTACCCTAGTATAATAATAAGGACTTTGCTACGGTGACATGCATATCACCGTAACTTGCACTTTTAGGTCGATCTCATTTAGGATTAGGTCGACCTAATATGTCGTTTCAGTCTTGTGCTAGAAGGCAGCTTACTTCGTAGCAACTTCGAGCATTTTGTTTGAAGCCTTCCAGATATCCAATATTTCATCCAATGCCTCGACTTTGTAGACACACATGCCTACTTTCATGTGGTAGAGGCCCCTAGACTCGAATCTCATCCATGCTTCTCGAATGGAGCTCCAAAGTAGGTTTCACAAACACTTTCCCAGACTTGACCATTTTCAGGCAGTTTCCCAGTTTTAGCATAGGCTTTTGATCAAGTTTAAAAATGGTCTTTTGAACTTCCTATCAAGCTCCCAAACACTTCAATGTGTAGAAGGACACTCCACCTTCAAAACAAGTCATTAATCTCCAATTTCCATCAAGCCAATTGTAAGAATATATGAATCTCCAAAGTAGGCATCTTGAAACTGTTTTTACACTGAAACAACATATTATGTCGATCTAATCCTAACTGATATCGACAGAAAAGTGTAAATTACGATAACATGCATATCACCCTAATAATAATTATAGAAACCGATATCAGCCTCATTCCAAGACCTTGGAGGCATTGTGTTTAGGGATGGCAATGGGTAGGGTTGGGTGCGGGTTTACCCTATACCAACTCCTAACCCGCCGGGTAGAGCCTTCTAAAATACCCGACCAAATAACCACCGGGTATGAAAATTATATAACCATACCCTACCCACCGGGTAACCACGGGCATTCGGGTAACCATGGGTACGAATCCTAAACTATGAACTTATACACATATATGCACGTACATACTGTTGTGTTGTCCATTAAAAATTCTCAATACTTGTAACTGTTCTAGCTTCAACAATCCACACAAATAAAAATAGCAAACACATAATAATTATTTTTGCTTCTACAATCCACACAAACATAATAATCGTCTACATCTTCATCATCAATAATGGTAGCTAAACTCAATTTCTCAAGCTAATCTAAATTTCCCAAGGGAAATTGACCATTTGGTTAGCGGGGCGAGTATAACGGGGCGGGTATTATCGATTACCATACCCGTACCCTACCCTTTATTTTGAAACCGAGTATTACCCGTACCCGCCCCTTAACCCGTCAAAGCGGGTAATTACCCTCGTTGACCGGTTACGGTCGGATAGGGTACCCATGGTTACGGGTTGGATTGACATCCCTAATTGTGTTGTGCCGGCAGCAGAATGGGGCCTTCTTGCCTCGTAACATTATTCATTGCCGTTATTATATGAGCTACAGGAAAGTGCATTGTTTGTGTCGTTTGTATTTCCATCGAGAACAATCGATTGTTTTCCTCTTCAACATTTAAAACCAAGCAAGGGAAACACCATTTATTGGATTCACTGTACACGCGCTTGATTACGTAGAGAAATTTGAAAGGGTTGCAAACCAGAAGCATGATGTTGAATGAAGCTTTAAGATATGGTGATCAACATGAAAAGAGTGGCTCTGGATCCACTTTTCTTCGCATCCTGAGACAGAAAAGATTCGAATATTAAAACAAGACCAATGTAGTGAATGAGTATATCATATGAGGTTGAACCGAAAGAGGATCTGATATCCCTAAGTAATAATATGTTTCTTCGCCCTCAATTGTTACTGGACAAAATGCATCTCACATGTAAACATGATTCTTCTATGTTCTAAGTAACAAAATGATATTGCAGAGAAGGAGAAGATGGTACGCACTACTTGGACTTACCAATTGTCAAGTGACCATTTGCAGCCAACAGTGTCCACAGCATGGACACTGTATGCATGCCTTGACTTTGGAGACTGATTCTCGAAACTGAAAGCAATGAAATGCGCCACATATGGATCAGAAATTTTTACCACCTCAGACATAATTATTAATCAGGTCAGAGATCAATGTTTTACCTTTGATGTATGAGATCACCATGAATTAAGACCAAAGACCCAGCTTTCACTTCAATAGGCACAAAATCCGACTGCTCATACGAAGGCGATGGCTGATCGAAGTACACCCCTTGCTCCCCTCTAAGGAATCTTCTGACCAGCCCATCTGCAAAACAACGCTTAATTAATTCTGAGCATCATTCAGCAGCTTAAAATGCCTTTTTCTGTAAATGAGAGAGAGCACAAAGGGATGATACTTCTATGAGATCTAGGAATGGCCCACAGGCAACCATTGACAGCTGTTGCATCTTCTAGTGCCACCCACAGGCCAGTGCAAGTGGTTGGTTCGGTGTGTAGGAAAGAGTTATCCTGGTGAGGTACTACTTCACCCCCGATACCTGGTTGCTGGGAAATAGAGAAGTACAGATTACCGTTTACCAAACACATCAAAGCATGTCCTGGAGACATAAAGGACCCTAATATGCTCTTTTAAAAATCCAAAGGGAAAACGAGCTCAGGAACTCAGGTGTAGCATAAATTAAATTCCTTTTATTTATTTGATCAATCACCTTGAAACCTCCATTGACATTTGACCAAATCACACCGGATAGAGATTAGAATCCAAAACAAACAAAGAGCAGCCATCCAGGGATATAAGAGTCATGGTTCCCTATGATTAAGTGGTTGAGGCCTAGGCTTTGTACAGACCAAGAGTGAAGACTTTTCAGATTAGCTGTGTACCTTAAAAATATACATCGATTGAACAATGGCTGGGCTCTTGTAGCCCAAGGACAGTAGCAAACTTGAAATTCTCGGAGAGCAAGAGAACTTTTTGAATACAGGGTCAAGCTCATGCAAGGCTGTACAGAAGGAAATTTCAATATCTTGGTCACAAGGAGAAGACAAAGAGGATGGAAAGCAACAGTAGTACTGCTCATAGTGACACAACTGTCAACAGCTTACCGTGGCCAACTTTATTTATGGACAATTCCTTCGCCTGCTTTAAGTTCCCTTCGTCGTCAAATGCTTTCTCTGAAGCATGAACAATAGGCCCCGTGAACCAACAGAACTATCATTCTTCCAAATTGCTAAGAGCAGTAGCTAGACACTAGATTTTTTATGAAATAGAAACTTCACTTCAGTGAAATCAGAGCAGATTAAGATCTGAGATGTAAGGATTCAGTTAGTGCAAGGTGTGACCTTATAGTTGCTAGACCAAGGATAACCGGTGATGGTAGATAATACCTAAAATAAATTTGTGGAAGCCAATACGTAGTGATCCTAAACGAGATCTAACGCATATTTAGCTTCTGGGAGGTTCAGCATTAACACAGTAATAGATTTACTTCCACCCTTTGTACGACCTCTCTTAAGTAAAGGTTACGCTCCCCTTCTAAATACCTTTATCGAACAACCCATTTGAAATTGATTCCTACAGTGTGCACCCAACCAGCAACATCCCAGCATTACGTTCTTAGGTAAAGCCATAGGCAACCACTTACCAGTCAAGGATTATTACCAGATCACGAGCTTATTCTAAATACAGAAATCATAAACTTTCCAAAAGCCAGGCAAAGATCATAGAAATAAAACCAAAGCTAACACATAGAACAGTGATTCAGTGAATTGAACTAGAGCTAGAGAGTGATCAAATGAAGTGTAGAGAACAGACTCTGATTAGATTGAAAATCAATATTTCTTGACAGGGAGCCTACTTCACTGTTGAAGCGCCATAAATTAAAAGACAAGGGAAAATTTCTATCCAACTTGACGTATGAACTATGAAGTATGAACTAATAAATACCTTCGAAGAAGAAAGAAATCTTCTCAGCGCTCTCGTAGAAATAATCATCCGTTACCTTTTGCTAATTAAACAGAGAGCCAAAACCTCAATTACTGCCATAATCAGAAACAATTCGCCAATTTCCTCAAGAACACAGCAGCGAAGGAGCGCGAGACTAAGAGAGAAGAAGGAATAACCTGATTTTTGGTAGAGAAAACAGATGCAGAGGAGCAATCGAACTCCCCGAGCAACTGGTCCATTCTCTTCCTCAGTTCATCAATTTCTTCAGAGCTCGCGAAAGATTCAACCACGAGGTACCCTGCGACGAAGTCAACGGAATCAAGGTCAGTTCAGGATCGAGGGGAGGGAGGAATGAGATTAGGTTTTGCTTTTCCTTTCTTTTTGGTCCATTTTTTCAGCACCTTCAGAATTGAAGAAGCTGAGTTCGTCGGCGGTGAGACGCCCGGCGATTGCCATGGCGGTTGTCGATTACGAGCAGTCGAATTGGAAAAGTCGAACACAGAGGCGGGCGGAGCGGAGCAAGGCAAGCAAGAGCAAGTATATCGGTTGCCGAACAACAATAAATAGTTAACTAGCTTCTATTCCGCGCCCGAACATTAGGGTATATTCGATGGATTGGGGAGTGGTTTTTTTTTTCTTGGATAAAAATCTCAAAAGATGGATGTAACTTGCAAGACCATCCTAAAACATATTAATAGAACGATCGTGGAGATTCCCATAATGTAACACATGAGTCAATGTTTAAGTTACAATTCGCACTTCGCACACATCGAATAAATGTGTGTCAATATCATGACTAGAGGTGTCAAAGTAAACCCTTTGAGCCCAATCGGATTGGACTTTTTGATAATTTCATATTTTCATGATTATTTAAATTATTAATTCTTTATCTTTACACCTGAATTATTGGGTTGGTTGGCTCTGATACCAAAAATTTGACGTAACTTCATTTTCCAACTAGTCTAACTTTTTTTGTTTGTTTGTTACGGAAGGAGATTGATTTGAACTATATATTTTGTATCTGATGCACCCCGGATGATTTCACACGAAGTCTCTAGAGATCGAAGAACATATAACGATTGTGGTCCGAAAATGAAGGCTCTAGGGGCTCTATGAGGGAAAGGGAAGAGTCTAATTGCCCAAGAGATGATCGACGTAGGGGCAAGAGGTGTTCAAGGGTCGCGAAGTGATGAAAAATCGAGTTGGGGCTGTTCGAGGCCAAATCCACGACCTTGGAGGGGAAATCCACGACCGTGGAATGTTTCCACGACTTGAAGATCAAAATCCACAGTCTAGAAGGCAAATCCACGACCGTGGATTTGGGTGACAGGGCGTGGATTTTCAGTTGATTGACGCTAGGCTACTGCTGAATTGTTATTTGCATTTTGGACGAGTTAAGTAGTGTTTAAGTTCATTTTGGTTCTTTTTAGGGTTATTTTGTGACTCATATATAAGGAGAAGAGATTTAATGTCTGGGGGATCAATCAATCAACATTCAACCAAGTTTTATTTATTAGAGAAATAGGCAAATTTCCCAGTTCTAGTTTGAATTGTTGTGCAAACTCTCCATCGATGATTCCGGAGGATTGTACGAGGCTCTTATCAACCAGACGATCACATATAGTCGCGACGAGCGACGACTATTACCGATTGGCCTTTCCCATAGGTTCGGGATTGTTTGGCGGTTTCTGTGTTATCTTTACTTTTCCGCGTTCTTGAAGAGAAAACCTAGAAACCCCAAAATTGGAGTGTTGTGTATGATGATTGTTGAGCGAGTTTGAATCCCTTGAACCCGAATCATATCTGGTGGTATCAGAGCCCAGTTCATACTCACGGCCATGGGCGAAAAGAGAAGAAGTTGAAGATCTTGAGGGTATTTTGAAGGTTCCTGAAGGTTGGTTCTGTCGCAGACATGAAAGATGCAATCAGAGACTTGACGGCCCAGATGGAAACAATGATGCAAGAACAAGTTGCTCATGAGGCGAGGATGGATGCATAGTTGGTGGCCTTCGAGACAAGATTATAGGCACCGCCAATACAATAGCTCGATTTCTGTATAGGCTTAATCGAGAGATCAGAAATATTGTGGAGATCCAACCATTCGTCGAGCTTGATGAATTGGTGACTATGGCGAGCAAGGTGGAGAGGCAACAGAAGGGGAGGAAGATCTTAACTTCCACCAGTTTCACGAGACCTGCTCAAGTTACTGCACCAGAATCTAGACCCAAGGAGGAATCACCAAAACCTGCAGCAAAGGTTGACACCTCAAAGCAAGGTAATTTATCTGGTGGTATTCAATGTTTTAAATGTCATGGGCGAGGACATATGGCAAGCCAATGTCCAAACAAGAGGACTTTGATTCTGTTTTAAATGTATGAGGCTCTTATCAACCAGACGATCATATCTGGTCGTGGCGAGTGATGACTATTACCGATTGGCCTTTCCCACAGGTTCGGGATTGTTTGACGGTTCCTGCGTTATCTTTACTTTTTTGCGTTCTTGAAGAGAAAACCTAGATAACTCCAAAATTGGAGTGCTGCGTATTCTGATTGTTGAACGAGTTCGAACCCGTTGAACCTGACTCATATAAGTTTCTATTAAACAAGACAACCTTTTGTTTTTTAGTGAGATATTTTATTTTAATTAAGTTCTTCCCATTTTTTAGACTTGGCGTTATTATTATGGTACTATTAAAAATTGAGTTTTAATTATTCATTAATTTTTATTTTATTTAGACTAGTTATTATATCAGTAATTAATTCGATTTTAGAAACAGTTTCTTCTAATGTCTGTGTAGCTCCAATACTCATTTGATCTTCTACAATTTCTGAGACAAAGTATGATAGTTCTAGTGTAACCATAGTGATATAATTTATTAAGTAAGATCTATAGCATCTATTTCTTCTATTAGCTTGTTTATATGATAAGTACTAGACATTTTTCACAACGATGTATTTTTATCTTCTCTTTTAATTCTTGTAAGTTCTTTTTCTCACTATTGTGTCATTTTGATGAAGTATTGTGATATTTTTTTATTGCTAGTTCCTCTTCTTTTAATTTATTTGTTATTCTTTTAGAGGGGTTTCGTCCATCTAGGCTAATTCTTAGATTATTATAATTTGATTTAATTATTTTTAGAGAGGATTCTAAATGTATTAGAGGTTTGAATAAATTTTCTATTGTAATAGCTTCCTTGTCTTTGAATGTTAAACTATGATGAATATTGATTAAGGCGTAGTTTATCTGGTATGTTACTCAAAATGGTTTCCTATTTTCCTTCATAAAATTTTCTCTTTTTAATTCATATTTTATAATAATGAAATAATTAAGATTTCCGTTAGTCAGACTTAAACATTTTTGTAAATTGATATCAAATTTAATTATTCTCACTTCTAAATTTTCTTGTCATTTTGCTATGATACTTTCTTCATCATTAACGAGTCTGTCATCTCTTATTTTTAGTTCTATAGGAGTACTTATTCCTATTTTCATTGTTTCTTTTAAGATAAATTGTATCGTACTAATATGAATACAAACTATTGTACTCTTTTCTTCTTGTTGTAATTTTGATATTTTTCCTAATTTGTTCTTTGTTTATTATTTGAACTCCTTTAGTTTGTTCTATAGGTATTGCTATTTCTTCTATCATATTTCAATATTTATTATATTTTTTCTATAAGAGATTTTAGATAAAAATGACTTGGTGATAAAATTTTGAGTTTCTGATAAGGTGAAATTAGTTCGTTCCTTGATTTTCTTAATATATTATACCATCTAAGAAATAGTTTTCTTCTTCATTTTTGCGTAAATAGTCAAAATAATTGGTATTGGTGCTAGGGCTATCAGACATACCTGTTCTTGTTTAGTTTGAATGGTCTGGCTTGTTATTTTCTGACATCTTCATGTTGATGCTGATGATGATCGTTGCAGTTGTGTTTGAGAATTTTTTGTGGGGTTTGATAGTTTTGCTACATGGTGTTTTTGATGAGGGATAAGAGTATCTCCAGAGTATCACCTCAAACACTCAGTGTCTAAGCACCTCAAGAGAGAGTCTTGGCTTTGAGAGAAAATTCTTAACTGGACTTTTATTCTCTACCTCCTTATGAGGGCTTAAACATACATATATGTAGCAGGTCCTTAGCCTGCTTATATGTAAAGGCTTACATCACTTTCCAACAAGTGAGAGCAAACAAACAAACTTTATAAAGCTACATTATTGCAGAGAAAGTTTGGCAAAGAAATAAAGGACAAAGCTAGTGTGATAGATCTTTCATCCTTTTTGTTTTTACTCTTCTTCAATGGTGGTCATGTCGGCTACACAATGATGCAAATATGATTTTCGTGTAGTTGCAATATTCACATAGTTGTTGCGTTTGTTCTGTTGCTAGTGGAGCCAATGTTCCTTCTATATTGATGAAGTCTTTGGCTAGATCTGTAATTAGGCTTCATTCTTCTATAATAAACTGTGTCTTGGATTTACAGAAGATGACTTTGTGGTTGCTTCCATAGTTGACCTTGGAGTTGTATGTTGGGTTGATGTAGTAAATGACCTGACATACCGAAAATAATGATTTCACTTGATAATCCCTAGTATTTTGACTGTCTTCAGAACATCCCTTGTTGGATAATTTCCATTTGATACTCGTATTTTTATGAGGGTCTTTGATGGTATAGTCATTTCGTTTTAGTTGAATACTGGATATCTGGAAGTATACCTTAGATAAATCTCTCTTCCTTTGGCAAAGAATTCAAGATATCTTTTCATAGTCATCTTGAATTTAATAAAATTTTTGTCGTAGATGTTAATCCTTTTGATATAAATGGTGTTCAATAATCCATATTAATGAAGAGCAAATACGGTTGCTGGTCAAGCTTCTTCTGTAACTACTGCTTTTGGCCCAGCTTTGAATGTTGGGTAAAACACATGCTTGTATGGATTTCTTCATAGCCGAGAATAGGGGGTGGAAATCGGTACAGTATCGGTATCGCAATACCAAATACTGAAATCTCGAATACCGAATTACATCCTAAAATCAATCCCAATCTCAATCCCTAAATATTTCGGTATCACAATCGATACTTCGGTATCCCAATTGGTATAATCGAATACGAACTTAATTATCTTTGCAATTAATAATTAAATATATAAATGATATTTGATTGTTTAATTTAGAGCAAAGAGACTAAGCAAAGAATCTTGAGTTTTCCTAGGGCTCGGATATGGATAAGGAGAATAGAGGAGAAGTGACATCTCAAGTTCTTGTCATTGATAATTTTTAATTTGACGAATTGGAAGCTGAGAGACGACTAATACTAGTGTTTACTTTTTGGTGTTATGAAAATAACAAGAGATTAGGTGAGGTACGAGAGTGACTTAATTTGAAAAGTCAAAATTGAGCTGGATGGAGACTTCTAAGTTGTGAAATAGGATGAAATGATCTATGTATAATTAAATGAAACTGTTGGTGGTTGAGGGTCATGTAGTAATGAATGAGAGAGTCTAGTTGATAGAATAAAATACACACTAGCTTATATTTCTGTATTGATCGGTATTTCGGTATATTACCGATCCC